TACATGACTGTAACTAAGCAAAGACACGATCCCTTTTCATCTCGTACACAACTCCGCACAGCACACTCACATAGATTCTTCTGCTTCCTTGGCACATTCCTTTATTTTAAAATAAATTCTACTTTGCATTATTTTCATATGAATAAAACTGAATGTAAAAAGATCGTCAAATTTTGGCTTAAGAGTAAAACCTACAATGATACCGAGGACTTGTTGGAAGTTATTTCATAATTTATATTTATATAATAAGTAATGTTTAACTACTTATCTTTTATAAATTGTAACTACTTATCTTTTATTTGTTACATTTATAAAATCTTTATCTTATTTTTAAAGCTTTGTTAATAAAAATGCACTATTATGCTTAAAATACAGGTACACATGTACTTAGTTTAGGCATCGCAATTGCACTATTAGGCACTAAGATTAAAATGTTTAATTTTACCATGATTATCTTATATAATTTAATTTTTTTTCTTTTTTTTTTGTTTATTACTGTTTATTTTAATATTTTATCTTCATTACATTGTTTTCATTATAATTGTATTAGATTAAGTCATATTGAAATAAATTTATCTTATCTTATCTTATCTTATACTAATGTTCATAGTTTTATTGGTTCTCCATACAAACTTTAACGTCCTTTTTGTGACAAAAAATGGCCTATGTCCTACTTTTTTTTATATATCAAGTGACGGACCGAACAAGTCGTGCGCCTTATAGTAAGCTACATGCCCGTCCATAATAACCTTTAAATCGTAACGATCTGAGAGACACTGCCACGGCGCTTGTCACCCTGAGACATAAGTTGACAAGCCCCAATGTAGGTACCTGTGGTTTCACCAGCACCCTTACCCTTCAAAACCGCAACACACTAATGCTGACATTGCTGCTTCATCAAAATCGGTGCAGTTCAAAGTTAGCGATTTAGGCGTCAAACGTAACAGACAGATAGAGTAACTTTCGCCTAAATAATATTAGTTTTGGATAAAGTGCCAAACAAGCACACCATTTATAAGGTCTCAAAGTAGGAAATTGTCTGTACTATGGTACAGTTGGTATAGTATTATCCACTTAAGTATCCACTATTTCTATAGCACTTAGTACAAATAGTGGATACCAAAGTGAGGACAACGATTGTACCATAGCAACGGAGCAACATTTCTGAGCATGACCCAGAACAGAAGCAATTTAGAAAAGTTAATTTCCCAAGTTGTTCCTACCGGGAATCGAACCCGGCGGATAGTTGTATCGGTTATGTCAATAAATAAATAAAAAAGTGACATTCATAAATCACATCTTGATTTTCTTACGCGCTGACGATCACCATTATAGATCATGTCTTAAAAAATCCGTGTCTGACAGCGACTTGCTTAGTACGAAAATACAAGATGCAATACTTTTTATATAACATATTTTTGACAAATAAAAGCTTTATGAAAGTACTATTGAGTATGAGAAATTCAATTTTACCTTTACTTTTAGGCCCGGCGCCCATTAGCGAGATGGTATGGCAAGAGATCATTCGGCATTCCTACATGCAAGCGCACACGGACGGCATTATGCCGCTGTATCCTTAGGAAAGCCAAAGTATATCATCATGACATAGTGCTCGCGCTTAGCCTCTCTTCAAATGAGCAGTATATTTACAAAATGGTAGTCATACTAAAGAAGAAAAAGAACTACATTCTAAAAAGTGAAGATTTTGGATGAATAACTTTCGGAAGACTGCATAGCAAAGCATCCCGAAGGCACTACAGAAGCTGCCAGCTCGGTATCCTTAAGCCTACCGCAGCTTTGTTTTCGTAGATAGTCGTAATAGTCGTGCCATTATAATCGGAATTTAAACAACTTTAATGGCATAACATTGAGGTTATTACAATTCGTCACCTAAAATTCCCTGCCGAAACGTTCCGACTGTGGGCGCCGGGCTTTAGTCTCCCGCAACAAGTAATTACATTAACGCCGGACAGACCTAATATTTTATAGTCCCGACGCAAGCCACATATAAATGAATCGTTCAGATAAGGTTCTGTTGACTCAATTTAGACATAGACAAAGCCACAACGATGTCATTAAGGTCTAATGCCTATTGAACCGGAGCGAATAATAGCAGTGTTTCATCAACCAAAATTTTTTCTTACTTTGACGACTCCGCGTCTCAGTTGTCAAAATAACTAAACACTTGTCTGATTAATCGGAATATAAACTTATTGTCATCTGCAATGTACGTATAATCTATCTATCAGTATCTATACAATATCGCGGTAGCTATTCTATGCAATGACAAAAACCGTCAGTCAATGTGTAAAATAAACTCTATTATAAACTTGGTCTAGGTATTCTTTACAATGTCGAACGGGAATGTTCAAGAATTTGTTAAATGCAGGGGTGCACAAAGCATTGTGAAATGAAGAAGTGCTTGTGTGTTAAGAAGAATATTTTATGCATGCCCAAGTGTCACAATAGTTCATCTTGTAAGAATAAGTATATTACTTTTAAAATATTTACACCTATTTTTTCGAACAAAATTTTATATTATACTTAGTAACAACGAAAGACACACTAAGTATGTACGCTACACAAATCGAACTTAACATTCGGTTTAATGCATTAAGCAAAACTGTTAAGTTTTGCCATTATATTATATAACTATTAAGTGATTGTCTGATATTATCTGATGTTCTTTGACTTACTACAAAAATATTACCTCAACTTTAAAGGGACGAAACACTCATTAAACTTTTACGAACATTCGTTTTTCTTTGTTTATTTGAAGTACAGAATCGAATGTTTAGCTTTTGTTCAAAAAACGGTATCCATAATATACTCCCGGACATACAATTCGAGCCACCTCACATTTTCAATATTAAATGCTTAGCTTAAACAATGCATTATTGCTGAAAAATGCTATTATGCAACTTTGAAACTGGTATACGAAACGTCATTTCTTGAAGTCTTTATTGAAAATTTGAATTTAAAATATCGGAGAAAACTTTTTCTACGAAGCTAACTATATTTTTATATAAAATTTTATTAGGATAAAAATGCAAGGTGGTGCGAATTATGTGTCCGGGAGTGTATTTTTTTGTTTTATGTTTTCGACCCAGCTCGGGAACGCAAACAAATCTCGTTCTGGCATTCGCCGGTCGCTGTCGCATATATGTCGCTGTTTTCATATACTAACCTAACCTAAACCGACATGAGGGGGTCGAACCAGCTCAGAAACGCAAACAGAATGGGCTAATTTGATTTTTTTTGTCTATAATTTATTACTTTGCAAAAATCTGTAGCTGGCATTTTATACAATACCTAGACTTTACATACAATGTCTAGGTAATGTGCATAACAATTTAGCAATATTAACTATTTTATACATTGCCTAAAGAAGCCCGATATTGTAAAGAATTACTGGTATTCTACACAAGTCTTGAATTTTATATTTTACCGTTAACATACACATTCCCGGACACAATTCGGGTCGTTTGATTGATCAAAAACTATTTAAGCAATTTTGAAATTGGTTGACATAAACAATATTTGTTTATTGAATAATCATGATTCTTTATTACCATGATTTTTCATGGTAATAAAGAATCATGATTCTTCCAAGTCCTTTAGCCTCGGCATGGCAACAGACACTGGTTGGAATCC